TTTTTGTGTAAAATACAGGTGGACTTCATAGACAGAAGAAACCTGCACCAACTTTCATTATATACCTGCAAATAGACATTTGCCCTTAACATGTGGTAGATATCAAGCAGTAGTATAGAGGGAGGGTTAACCCTTACAGCATAAAACATAATAACATGACAAAAAAAAATAGATATTTTAGCTATCTATCTATCTTAATAAAATCCCTCTTACATTTGTTTGGAGAGAACTGATCATTTGCAAGTTTTGCATTACATCCATAAGGTGTAGTATTACATAGAGCAAATTCTTGTCTTAATTTGACGATACCTTGAGTTTAAATGTTTCACAGTTAATTGTAACAGTAGCAAAACAGCAATATAAAAATCCAGTCAATTATACTCTACATGTAATCTCATTCAAAAAAGAAGTTAACATTCCAAGAGGTTTCCTCAGGTATAAAATAATCATTAAATAAGACAGCAGAGTTGTTGACTTGGAACAGGTTAATTACGAATACAGATATGTTAAATTGTCCAGAGCGCACACAACTTAAACAAAATTTGTAAAATGTAACTTTTATTAGTACTTGCTCTTACGCATCATGAGTGTATCGCATTACGTGACTTGAGTAATAACCGGAACCTTATAATCTGATAAGAGTGGAAACATTGTTCTAATGAATATTGACCAATACAACAAAATGTGTCTTGACCACCTCAATGATACAAACCAATACTGGATGCTGGAAGGAGATCCAACTATCAGCTTCATCTCTCAATTAAAATGTATCCTTATTCCTGCAGTGGAAAGTGGCATTATTATGAGGGAGAAATATAAATATATTCTACCTTATCAGACTCAATACAATAGCCACTTTCTACTCTCTGCCTAAAATACACAAACAATTGGTTAATCCACCAGGCAGAAGAATAGTATCGCATAATTGCATAATTATGCATAATTGCAGAAAGGGCAAGCAAATACCTGGAACAGCTGTTACATTCATTTGTTGTGAACTTGGATTCTTATCTTCAGGATACTAAACACATATAACGCCTCCACACTGTCAATTGGCCAGTCTTGATGTGGTATCATTATATAATAATATACCACATAAGAGAGGCCTATAAGCAACAGAGTATTACCTGAATCGCACTCCAAATTTCACACTAAATGTGCGAACCTTCATTCTGTCACTATTGGAATGCATATTAACTCACATTTTTTTGTATTTAATCGCTTGGTGAACAGTCCATTTTACAATTTTCTTACCGTTAAGGACCAAGGCTGTTTTTACAGTTCTGCAGTGTTTGTGTTTAGCTGTAATTTTCCTCTTATTCATTTACTGTACCCACACATATTATATACTGTTTTTCTCACCATTAAATGGTCTTTCTAAAAATACCGTTTGTAACGGATCACCTGGCACCCCGACTGGGTACCTCCGTTGAAAGATGCTCCTAGCGCTTCCAGAGGACTCCAAGCACTCCACCAGACACCATAAGCACCGCAGGCTGCAGCTATCTCCCTTCAGAACGAAGCAGGAACAAGCTCTTACAAGAGCTCAGTGATTATAGCAAGGGAATATGCCTAGCATAGCAATCCCTTGTAGCAGATTCCCCCAATAAGAGACAGGACTCAAGTTGAGGGTAAAAACAGGAACTCTCTGGCTGCTAGCTTGCAGCCCTTTTTATTAGGTGCTCCCATGAAGGGGAGGGACACACACAGTAACGTACATTAACCAATCACACAATAGTTACATCCCACACATAGCCCTCCCCTCTACCTGTAAACTAATTATCTGTACACACAGGAAAATACAATTATCATAGGTAGGGAAAATACAGTTTTTACACAACATTCATAACTCCCAAAATATACATCACATTCGCATAAAAATACATATTCACAATCAATCCATTCAGGGGAACAACATATTAAAAAATGGCATGAATCAGACCAGGGGTTCAAAAGTCAGTAAAAGTATCTTTTGTTCCCCCTGGCTCAAACAGTAAAAGTAAAACATCCCCACAATGCATCCTGGCTTCCTCCCTTCTGCCCTGGAGATAATTGGAGAAGGAATCTAATTATCTCCAAAGACAGAGCCAAACTCTATTACCCACATGGCAGACAAAAAGACAGTAAAAGACATAAAATTACATACTGACACATTTAGTACATAAAACACACATTTCTACATATCCCCAGATAGCTTGGATCTGACTGCACATTATTAGATGAATGGCACTCAGATCACACGAATAAGCCTTTCTGCAGGGAAAATAAACAGTTTAACCTGCAGGGCCATAGTCCAAAGGCAAGAGGCGGGCAAGCAGCCCCCTCCAAGGACACGTGGCGAGGTCGGTTTTGCCACACTTCTCCCCTTTGCCCCCCAGACTAACAGGGTATCTGACCTCCTGCCGGTCAGTGCCCTGGTTAGTCCAGCAACCCACCCACGAAGCACAAACAGCAGTACAGCCCACCCACAATAAATGTTTACTCCACCTGGATAAAGTAGCAACTTGTCCATGTCCAGGTGCCTCACCACGGCTGTGTGGGGAGCTGGTAGACTGCCTTGGTGGGTTGCTGAGTGGGCAGAGACCAGCGGTACTCTGCCCTGGTGCCAGCGCTACCACCGAAGTAGCCTGATTGGAGCCTGGTTGTGGGAGGGGGAGACCGACCGTCTCCCCTCTGGGTACACAGCTCTGGGGCTGGGGAACAGGACCGACCGTCTCTACCCCTTGGGCTGTAAGCGCAGAGACTACGGTCCCATCTGCACAGTTGCGGGGCTCAACATCTCCCCTTGGTGGGTTAGGCTGCCGCTGGAGAGAGGGTGTAACAAGCTCCTCTCTCTGGACTGTCAACTGCCGCTGGGGAGAGGGGTTAACAGGCTCCTCTCCCTGACACTCTCTCTGCTGGTGGAGAGGCGGACCAGCTGTCTCCCCTTTCATTATTTTGTCCTGCTGCTGGGGTGTGAGACTGACGGTCTCTGCTCCCTGCAGGACACACTGCCACTGGGGAGGAAGGACGACACCTTCGGCTCCCTGGGTTACACACTGCTGCTTGAGAGGAAGGATTGCACCCTCAGCTCCCTGGGGTACACACTGCCGCTGGGGAGGAAGGACGACACCTTCGGCTCCCTGGGTTACACACTGCTGCTGGGGAGGACGGACGACACCATCAGCTCCCTGGGGTACGCACTGCCGCTGGGGAGGAAGGACGGCACCTTCCGCTGGGGCAGCCTGTAGAAAGTCAGGCTCAGGGGAAGGAAACAAGGGAGGACAGAGGCCAGCGGCGCTCTGCCCAGTTGCCAGCTCTTCTGCTGGGGGGTCAGGGAACAAAGGAGTTGGCTGGGGAGGAGAAATATCACTTACCTCCCCCTGGTACTCCGGCTGCTGCTGGGGGGGGAGGTCGATGCTCTCCACTTTCTGTAACTCCAGCTCTAGTTGGGGATCTGGGCCGGTTGCCCAGCATCCCTGTAGGGCCGGTGGAGAGATCTCGGTCCCATCTCCACCTGCCTGCAGGGGGTCCTCCCAGGACCAGTCTATGAGGTCCTCTACCTCGGGTACCTCTGGTTGCTGTTGGGGAGGGAGACCGGTTGTCTCTTCCTCCAATAACACATTCTGCCGCTGGGGAGTGAGACCGACTGTCTCCCCTCCCTGTAAAACATACTGCCACTGGGGATCTGGGCCGGGTGCCCAGCATCCCTGTAGGGCCGGTAGAGAGACCTCGGTCCCATCTCCACCGGCCACCTCGGTTTCTTCCTCGTCCCACTCTA